GGGAAAGAGCCCGGCTTCTGGGAAACCTGGTCCATGCTGGGACTTCAGTGCCTTTTTAGGTGAATGCTGTGGGAGGACTCACTAGTCCTCTTAGCTCTTCCTACTGAAAAGATACTTTCTCAGTTGTTTGCAAGTGTAAGTCAAGATGTGCTAGTGAACAAAATTGCCTTTTTTTCCATGCTGCTTCCATACCTTCAATCTTTGCTTATTCATGCAATTTGATAGCAAAATACTTTTAATGAATAGACTACGTACAGAAGACTTTGTCTTATAACTGGTTTTATGTTCTGCAATTTCTGATTCTGATCAAGGAAAGTGTTCTGCAACCTGAGGGTGTTTGATCTGAAAAATTACTTGACTGCACTCCTAGCTGGCTTCCCTGCCCTCCTGTGACTTTGTTAAGCAGCTCTTTGTTACGTAGCAGCTGGATGAATTCTGTATTTGAAAACTAGGTTCTCTGAATGTTTAGATTCAGGGTGAGTGTATTTGCTTAAGAGTTAGTATTGCTCACAATAATGCTTTTGTGCTGGCATATGTATCCTAACCACCTGTAAAAGGGCAGCATTTCATTACTCCCTGGCTCCAAGGGGATCTTTTCTAATACTGTGTTCATTCCTTCCTTTTAGGTCAGGAAGATTATGATAGATTACGACCCCTCAGCTATCCGCAGACAGATGTATTTCTGGTCTGTTTTTCAGTGGTTTCTCCTTCTTCATTTGAAAATGTGAAAGAAAAGGTTGGTTAAGCTCTGCCTGAAAGGGGAGCAGCTGCAGTGATATGAGAAATGCCAGAGAAGTTACCTCAATAGCTGTTTAGTAACAAGCACTGTCTTTCTTTCTTTAGTGGGTACCTGAAATTACTCACCACTGTCCAAAGACTCCTTTCCTGCTTGTTGGCACCCAGATTGATCTCAGAGATGATCCTTCCACAATTGAGAAACTTGCCAAGAACAAGCAGAAGCCCATAACTCCAGAGACGGCTGAAAAACTGGCCCGGGACCTGAAGGCCGTCAAATACGTGGAGTGCTCTGCACTTACGCAGGTGAGAGTTGGTCTTTGACCACTTCTGCTTGCTCGTGTTCCTCATTTTCTTCACTTTTGGGGGGAAAAACAGCTCAATATGGCATGTGAAAAGCTGTGAGCTGTTTCTGCTGTTGAGAACAGTAGCTTTCTCTTTGTGCTATTGTTCTAAGGCACGAGGAGTTGGAAATGGTACAAAGAAAAAAATCACGTGAAGAACAGGCGTAGTGTAGAGGGGAGACAGAGGGAGGAGGGGCTAATGACTGAGTGTGCTTTTGTGTTGGAGAAAATGTTGCCCAATTATCTAAAATTAAAGTATTTTGGACAATAAGTGGATTAGGAGGCAGAATTCAGTTCTCTAGTAGAGAGCAGGCAAAGAAGAAACCTTGCAGGTGAGTTGTTTCCTCTTGGGAAAGTCAGTTTCCCTAGTTTTGGGGTGAGAAGGCATTTCGTAGTCTTGAGAGCTTCTTTCTCTTCCTGCGCAATCTGTGGTGAGCTCCGTTTCCTGTGTCTGCCTTAAGATGGAAGTGCTGCTGAGACAGACTGTAACAACAAGACAGTTCTTCAGGCACAAACATGGTGGTGCTGTGTGAACTGACTTGCAGCAGTGAGTCTAAAACGTCACTGAAATTGCTGACGTGAGATCAGGAAACGCAATGATCCTTTTTTCTTTAACTTAATGAAATGATAGGGGAGAAATGGGTGTGAAACACTGGCTGTCCAGCTGGAATAAAGGCAAACTTTATTCGTCCTGTGAGTCCCTGATCTAAAGGTGGCCTCGGCTTCCTTAGTGCCCGCGTGCAGGCTGCAGGTTGTTTGTGCTCAAGTTGTCATACTCTTGTCCTGAAGCATTCACTACCCTGTCTCTTTTTGTCTGTGGAACAACTACCTGCTTACTAGGCTGTAGGACCTGCCAGCTGAGTAAATGCATAGGAGGAATTTTGTCCTTTATTGCCGACTGCAACACCCCTGTAGCTTTAGCTGTGCCTTGTTTAGTCTGCTCAAATTGCACAAAAGCACTTATTCTGATAATTTTAAGAGTTGACGTGATAAAAAGAGTAGATAAACACTGAATTTTCTATTTCCAGATATGCAGCTTAGTTTGTGGCAGGGAACAGATTTATGTACTTGGAAGCTCAGCTTGAATCTCTTCTGCAGCACTGCTAGTGCTCATACACCCACTGATGTTTGGTAGGAGGGGTTCAGAAGGCCTTTCATCTGCAGGACTACTCCGTTTGCTTTGCCTCTGCTCTATTCCTCTTGCTTCATTTGTTTACTTCCCCACAGAGTATTTTCTCAGCCTGTCAGTAGTAGCTGCCAAACAAATAGGTTGTTTATATGCAGAGGGATGTCTGAAGCTCCCAGTGCTGATCCTGCTGCCTTGCCTAGCCAGGAGGGGCCATTCCATACAGGGAAGGGAATCTTGCAGGAGTTGGTTTCAGCTGAAGCTAGAACGAGTTGCATGATCCTTGCCTCTTTAACCTGACTTTCATCTATGCAGTTCATCTTGGCAAAACAAACAAACAAAACTCTAGACTCTGTCTTTCCAACTAATTTGCAGGTGGATTTGACCCCATTGTAGCAAATAACCTTGAAAGGCTGTAGCTGGGGTGTATGTTGCTTTCCCCCTCAATCTCCTGGGAGAAAGATCTATCTTGTCTGGTGTGGAAGTGTCTCAGGGTCCCAAGGTACTGGAGGAGTCGTAAGAAGCTGAATTTCCAAGTCCTTCTCTGAAGAGAGGTTATCTCCTCCTGCTTGAGCTTGACTGCAATGCTGAGTGTTCAGTTTCATCTTTTTTCCCCTCATGGAAGGTGGAAAAAGGAAGCCTAAACTAGCCCAGCTCCCTGTTGTCCTCCAGGGGAGGATGTTCAGGTTTGAAGTGACACGGTTGTGATTTGTTTTGCCAGGGATGCCATACAAATCTCCCCTAATGTGCTTACTCCTATATCATTCAAGCTTGTGACTCCAGTTTCGTTTTTGCAACAGTTTTGTCCCCATCCTGTTTGTCTGGCCCTTATCCCATATTTTTTTCTAGATCCTTCAAAACAAATCCTAAATTCTGCTCTCTAAAATAAATAAATCTCTCCTGTGCAATAGGAAAACAAGGGAGGAGACTGTGAACAGCACATTTAAAACCTGGCTTCTTGACTTTTTTTTTGCCCTGCATGGGTTCGTAATCTGCCTAGCAGTGTATAATTGAGTTTATCCTACTGCCTTATTCACACAGAAAGAAAATTTAATTAGTGCTTGGACTTCTTATAGGTATTTTTGAAGTCTCTAGCTCTCTTGTCAGACTACTGGAGAGGATATACAGAATGGGATATGCAGAATGATTGCCCTTAACTTCCTTAACTTTTAGACTTCCAGGTCTTAATCTTGCATATAACATGTTGGGCTTTAAATGCTTTCAGATGAAATTGTCGTAGAGATCTCCCATGTATGTGCTTCAGCAAAACAAGATTAAAGACTCTTAAAAAGGGATCTATCCAGTCAAACCAGTGAGGGAGAAGTGTTTCATTTGAATAATTTAATGACTTCCTGTAAATAATTGCAGCCTTTTCAAAGTTAAGTTTTGTTTTTTTTTCCAACTTTCCTGTTTTTTTTCTTTTTCCTTTGGATGTAAAGCAGTTCTTCTGAACTGACCAAGGTTGCACTCATGCCAGTAGATATAGGCGAGTCCAGTTAGCGCGAATGGAGCCAGGTTTCAGCCCTGGCTCCCAGGTGTAGCTGGGCAGAGTTGTGTGGGAGTGGTAACATATTGCAGTGTTTCTGTTTCGCTTACAGCAAGCGCAGCGCATGCTCTGTGCTCCGTGTGATCCCTGCGGATCTCTTAGAGCTCTGTGACTGCTTGTCTGCTGTTGGGTCTGGGTTATTCCAACTCCAACATCGTCTCTGTCTTCCCGTAACTCCACTGGTTGTACTTACTTTGGTAACTAAGCTGAATAACTGAAATTTCCTGCCATTTCCGTAGCTGCCTGTCCATGTCAAAACAGCAGTGCTGGTAAGGTGCTGCATCACTCTTTAAAGGGCTGATAGCTCCTGTGTGACGGTGGCGATGGCTTAGCAGGCAGGTACTGCCTCGGTGCCAGCTCGTCCTTCCCCACCATCTAGAGATGTTCAGTTATTCAGGGCTGAATTCACATAGCAGAGCTGTCTGAAGCCCTCGGGCTGCCTGGGTGTCCATTGGGAACGAGGAGTCGGTGCGTCCGGCACTGCCTTATCCGTGACGCGCGGCTCCAAGGGTGGTGTGAACACCTCACCCTTATCGAGATCCTTGGAGGGGCAAATGCCCTCCAAGCTTGCTAAGAACATATGCAGCACTTAAATGGAACCCCCAAATTTCCCTCTTCCCTCCCCTGCCTGATTGTCCTCACCAATTGCTGCTCTGTCTGTGCCTCTGCCCTTTTGGGTGCACATTTTGTCTAACTCGGCCTGTCACGTGTCCTGTGTGTCTCCAGTGTTGACTTCTGGGTCATTCAAATGAGATTTCCTCCCAAGATCTACTTTGTTTTTGCAAAGTAAATCTGTTTACTGCCTCTGTGAATTCAGCCTGCTTGATCCTGAATGCTCTTTGTATCTGCTTGTTTTTCTCTAATCCTCTAACCTGGCTGCTGTTTTTTCTCCTCCCCTCTGTCTTGTAGAGAGGTCTGAAGAATGTGTTTGATGAGGCTATCCTAGCTGCCCTCGAGCCTCCGGAAACTCAGCCCAAAAGGAAGTGCTGTATATTCTAAACTTTCTCCTTCCCCTCTTGCTGCTGCTTCCTCTGTCCCACTACTGTAGAAATCTGATTTAAAAAAAAAAAAAAAGGAATAAACCCACCTTGATTGAAAGCTGATGTGTCTGCTTACCATCTTAGAGCAACCTCTGTATTAGCTTTTTGGACTGCAAACGATAACTTAAGATCTTTAGCAAAACATTGTGACCGTGGAACATGAACTGGACTCGCTTAGCGCTCTGCTGCTTGGGTTGCCAGATGTGGGTAGCTTTATGATTTAGGCTGTTGGGGGAAAGGACCTGGGTATAGTGTTATTGAAAAAGAAACGCTGAAGGGATAAGAAACGATGTTTGATCTTCTCGAATCTGACTGGAAGAAACGAGACTTTTTCAGTTTCTGTTTGTGACTCTTGTTAACTGTATTTGCATGACAAAAGTACATGGAACGGTGATCTGCAAGTTATGCTGTAATGTGAAGGGTTTTCTGGTTCTCCTTTTGTGCGGTGAGATTCTTTCTGTTGCTGTTGCTTTGGCTGTCTGTGCTGTAGTGGAGTATTTGTCAGTCCTCGGGGGAAGGAAATATCAATGTACCTGCTACTGCTTGATGAATTGTTTAAAATCCTTGCTCTCACTAACATGGTAGATCATTTCAATGATAGATTCTGAACGCCTGTTACTGTAAGATGTAAAGCTGCTTCTTACTCTCGTGCTTCTGATTTTTATTGTTTCAAGGAGAAAACGTCAATTGTAGTTCTCTTTAAATTTTGAAATTAAAAACCGCAGATGTTTGTATAAATGACTGATGAAGCTTTTATTCCGATTTGCTCTTCCTGGCTTCAGTTTAACATTTATACAATGTGCAGTGCCCGCTCCATACTCCTCCTGCCTTGATCCCGTGTCTCTCCCTGGCTGCTTCCAACCATGGGGAATGAGGGAGGCTCCTTGGAGCGACACTGCTGCTTGCTCGTCCTGTGTCCTCCTCTCTCCCTAGTCTGTGCCGCGGCACCCGGCGTGTTCCAGACCTCACTGTTCAGCTGAACTCTCTTCTGCTTTCTCATAGCATGTGAAATATGGTACTAGCTGAGTAATCATTAAAAAAAAAAAAAAAAAAAAAAACCTTGAGGAAATGACTTTGGGTACGTGTGTGTGTTTTGCTTCTGGTGAAGTCCATTGGCCTGCACTCAAAAGGCCGCGTTCCTCTTTGTGAAATGGGCTGCTCTGAGGAATTAACCGCTGCAAGACAGCTCGGACAGAGCCCAGGGAGCAAAAAAAAACCCTGGGAACCTCCCTCCGTCATTAGAGGGGTTTGTCTGCCGCTTGGCTTTTGATGGTTTTGTTTGTATCTAGACTCAAAAATGAGACTGCCCCTTTCTCTCTCTCTGCCCCTTTTCAGAAAGGCCTAAAGAATGTATTTGACGAGGCGATATTGGCTGCCCTGGAGCCTCCGGAGCCGAAGAAGACTCGCAGGTGTGTGCTGCTATGAACGTCCCTCCACAGCCCCTTCTGCAAAGCTGGTGTTTGATGTCATACTAAAAGCAATGTTTAAATCAAACTAAAGATACACATTTTAAAATTTGTCTGTTTTTTTTTTTTTTGGCAAATAATGACAAATGCCCTGCACTCCCATCTTCCCCACACGACCCCTGTGTGAGATGAGAATGTTAGTGTTTATTCCCCAGTGCCCTTTCAATTCAATTAAAAACTAGTTAATTTTGAATAATTATGTATTATGAGAAAACACTGATCAGTACTAGTTTTTTTTTTTAAAATTTTTGTTTACTGTTTCTAAGTTTTGTTTAAAATCCAGGCATGCTTGTGATGACTTTTTTCTGTAACAGACTAATTCTGGGCTGTGTTACTGAAGTCTTGTCCCTTATGCCAGTCTGGCAAGACTTGTTTCTGGTTACAAGAACTTCTGGAGCTGTTTCTACATCCAGCCAGCAGCCTGGGTGTGAGCATATGTCAGTACTAAAGACAAATTCAGGAAACTATGATGTCCCAACCTGGTGCTCCTCTAAGGAGAAGTGTAGAAGAAGTATCTGCATCTCCTCTGAAGTTGCCTTGTATCTCTTCCCCAGGCTTTCCACTATGCAAGTCATAAATTTCTACCCCTTCCTCTAAGTTATGAAGTTTAAGAACAGGAGAATCCTTTTTCTCCAGAATCACCATCAGACTTGAACGTAGTTCGCTGCTCTTACCCTTGGCAACCTTTTGTCACCTTGTGAAGAAATAACTGCAGCTCTTTAAGCATGGCCAGCTGATTCAGTTGGATTTTAACAAATCCACCTTCTACCACTCCTTAATTATTAGGGAAATGCTTCCAGTTACCAGCAAATACACTTATTTGAGCGGGCCTGGTGTGCATTAAATGAGCTTGAGCTGTGGTGCTGGTGGTGCATCTCTTACTGGATGGTCAAGCATCCTTCAAGGAGGGGTGGAAGATAAACCTGCGTCAGTGGAAAGGAACCGTGGGGAGGGATTTCTAGTGTTTAGTGTGGCACCATATAGGGACCAGTTAAAGGAATCCCCTTTTCTGCACTGTGCTTGTAAGTAACCTTGGAACCTGTACGAGGGGCTCCAGTCCGGTCAGGATTGTGTGCAGGATCTCTTGGACTGCAGCGTTCATAGGGATTTCACCAAAACTGTATTTTGGCTTGCAAACTTTTTTTTTAAAAAAATTGCAGAATCTTCTCCATTTCCCCAAATTTCTAATTCTTGTAGATTCATTAGTGTCGAACCAGTGCTTTTCACGTCAAAGTTCTTTGTATATGCATTCTTTTCAGATGTATTAAACGTAAAATATCTTCACAAGCCTGCCTGAGGGTAGTTATTTCCCTTGATATATATATTTTTTTCTCTTGAGTTTGAAGGACTCTCAATTATGGTTTTCTATACCTTGTGAGCCCCCCATGCCCTCCCACCCTCCTCTTTTCAAGTCACTTGTGGTCTCCTCTCAATCCCTGGTCCCATCGCTTCGTGTCTTCCCTTGTCTCTGCCCCTGGGCTTGGTTCTGTCGCGATCGCTCTGGTCTTTGGCGCAGACCCGCTGTTGTCCTGCCAGACCCTGGACAGGGGCCGTGGTTGGTCCTTAAGCACCGTGGAAGGGAGCGTCTGCTGCTGTGCATGTTAAAAGCAGGTCCTAGGGCTCTGGCACATCTGAAGCTGCCCTTTGCAGAAGTTTTCTGCTGCTGTTTATGGGCAGATAAGGGAGAAAAAAAAAAAAAAAAAAAAAGGGCGGGGGGGTAAATGGCACCATGCTTCTCCCCCTAAAAAATACCCTGGCTTTATTATGCCATTTTGTCTAATTTCCAAAGAATTGGTGGTCTCGCGCTGTGGACGCGTAACTTGTATTAACCATTAAAACACATTTCAAAGAGGTTGTGAAAGGTCGTTTCCTTTGATTCCAGCACCAGCTGCTTTAAAAAAGCCCCGTGGGGCGCGTGTGCCTTTCGCTCTCCTTAGCCGCATGGAGCGTCGCCAGCCGCCGCGTCCCCCTGCGTCCCCGGGTTGCTGGACCGAACCGATGCGTCTAAATCCAGCGGCAGGACGGGTGACCTGGAAGCAGGCAGGAAACCGCCTCCCCGGGGAGCGAGGCTGCCTCGGCGCTGCTGCTCTGCAGAGCAGGTTTGCCCTGTTGCTCTTCCTCTCCTGATGCATCTTTGCGCGGGAGCTGCTGTCTCGTCTCGCTGCAGACGTTGCCTCTGAGAGCCGCGTGCTGGTTCTTTCACACAGCTCAGCCTGGCAAACCAGAAAGCCTTGCTGGAGATGGGGCCAAAGTGGAAAAACCTCTTCCTTTTGGGTAGTGCAGTTTTTAGTGGGCAACGTGGAAAGCAAAGATCTTGGGGCTGGGGGAGAGGCTTTGGGCTCTTCCTGTGATGCTGCTGGAGTGGGACAAGCTCTTACAGGTGTGAGCAGCTTTGTCTCACGTTGCTGCTTTTAAAACACGACTTTCCCATCTGAAAAGGTACCCGCAGCTCAAGTGCTCTTTGCTTGCTCACCTGTAAAGACTTCCGAGGTACTCGGTGACTCACGAGCAGAGCATGAGATATGTGAGGTCTAGTTAGCTGGTTGTGTAACTTTTCCTGTTGAATTGCTCCCTCTTCCTGTATGAGGAATAGCTTAGCCGGTTCTGTTCTCGGGTGACTTTCAACCTTGAGTTTCTAGTCCTTGGGTTTGCTGAGTTCAGGCGGAGTTTTTGCTTCTGTTCTCTCCAAACAAGTGGTTTGGCTCTGTATCCTCGGCAGCTGCTTGTTGTCTCCGAAAGCAGCGGTCATCCCCTTTTCCCCGGCTCCGGCCTCACGCTCTTGCTTTGTCAGCCCTGGTGCACAGAGAGACGATCCCGTTCAGTAGTTGGACCGAAAAGTAACGTCTTGCAGGATGCTTTTCCCTGCTTTGGAGCAAATGAACTCCAGGGCCTTTTCCTCCCAGTCACATGGAGCCAAAACCAGCGCGCGGGAGGAGGCAGGAGAGCAGGGCCGGAGCAGAGGCCGAGGGAGGTGAGTGCAGTCCGAGCAGCTCTGCCGTGTGAGCCCATGTACCTTGGTGACAAATGGCACAAACCCTTTTTTTTTCCCTCCTGGATGTCAGCAAAGTTGAAATATGGAAATTGATTTGTATATAGAGCTCACACGTGAGTTGAGCTGTCGTGCAAGGAGAGAGGAGCACGTTTAATCCTGCTGCTGAGAGGAGGCTTTGGGAGCAGCTCTGCATCATCGCCGGCGCCGCCGAGGCGAGTCCCGGACTGTCCCCACGCAGTGTCCCGCACGCAGGCTGGGCTTGTCCTGCCTCAGACGGCCTGGGACACTGTGTCCCTGCCGTTCGGAGCGGGATTCGTGGCACTGGACAGGGGCTAATGGGATGGGGGGCCCCCAAACCCCGCGCCGTGGCGGGCGGGAGCTGCTCCGGGTGTCCTGGTAGCTGCTGTAGCTAAAAACAGGCTGACGATTCTGGCACGGACCCAAAGGGCAGCAACGTCCTCCGTTCCGCGGCCACCATCTAGGTCTCATCTTGCAGCTGGTAGCAGCTGCTTCCATTTAAAAACAGCCTCGGAGCGGGGTTGGCGCGAGAGCTGTTGGGTCAGCGCTGCCCCGACCTCGGCTTCCTGCTGCCTCCGGGCCTCGAAGGAGCCTCTCGCTCTTCTGCCGCCGTCCTGCACGGGGCCCTTTGGGGTCCTGCCCTGCAAGGGGAGTTGTTTCTCTTGCCCTTGCTGCCTGTGTTGCCTTTGGGGAACGTTGCTCGTTGCTGCTCCACTTTCACCCCCTCGACTCCTCTCTGAGGTCTCCATGTCCATCCAGACGGCTGGTTCCTTTCCCCTTAATGACATAACACTGAGTGGAAAAGAGGAAAACGTCGCCCCCCAAAACCCTTCCTGGGGGCTGTCCGGACCCCAGTCCCAAAGGACTTGCCCAGGATTTAAGTCCCGAGGCGATGGCAGTGGGAGCTCCTGCTCCTGCCTCCGAAACTCGGCCCGCGAGCCGGGCCCGGCCGGAGCCTCCGGAGCACCGGGGCCACCACGCGGGGCCGCCCGGCTCTGCTCCCGGGCGCTGCGGACGCTCCCCCGGAACGCCCGGTGCAGGACCGGGAGCAGCTGGGAGCGCTGCGCGGCCTTCCCGGCCTGCCCCGCTGCTTCTGGATTTCCAGCTGCTGCGTTTTGGTGACGGCCCCGCTGCGGGTTGCGCTGCCCGCAGGACGCGTGCATCTGCGTGTTCCCTCCGGGCTCGCTGCTCTTCTCGGAGCTGCACTTGTTTTAAGCATGCAAGCCAAAAAAAAACCAACAACAAAACCCAGCATAGCCCAGTGTGTGATGGATTTTGTGGTCCCATCCGTGCCTTTCCTGGGGAGACGGATACGGTCTGGGCTAACCTGCGGCACGGGTCTGTGCAGCTTGCAGGGAAGCTCACAGCTCTTGGCCTTCCCTGCACATCCCGGCTGCATCCGGGGGTTCCTTTGCCGGGGACTCCGGCAGTGATGAAGCAGGTAGGTGTCTTGTCCCCTCCTTTGTGATACTCTGCCTGCTTGAGCCTGTTTGTCCCTTCTTCCCCTTGGTGGGGAGACTTCCAGGGCGTCCTGCGCTCCTGCTGTCCCACTGGTTCTGGTGCAGCTCGCTTGTCTCCCAGTTTTACCTCCCTCCTTTCACAGTTTGGTACCAATGAGATCCAAGAGGAGCTTGAGATGCCGGCCTAACGCTGCCTGCTTCTCAGCAAGGCTGGGGGCTGCTGGACCTGCGTGGATTTGGGGTTTTTCATCTTGCTGTGTTTTATGGTTTGTTTTAACCACCGCCGTGGGCGCAGAGTGGGGTTTACCCACCCATGTGAACGGCTGTTGCAGGGAGCGTTTTTGTGCCTTGAGCGTCTCCCGGGAGGTAAGTGACGTCCCTCATGGAGAGGGATGTTCCGTCGGTGCAGCCACGTCCCTCCATCGCGCTGTCCCTGCGCTCCTCGCGCTTCCTCGAGGTGACAGCAGCCTGGGTCCCCCTGTCCGTCCCAGCCTGTTTCCTCAGCCCTATTCCTACACAGCCCAGCAAGACAGCGAGTGCCCCTTGCTCCGCCGGGGAGACGGATGCTCCCGCCCCGGGGTTCATTTTGATG